ATGAGCTGCAAGGGGCTCACCCGAGGGGGGGCGGAGCCTGGCGAGGGGCTGCGCTGTGCAGTTGAGGAGCTGGGATTGATCAAGTGCTGGGCGGGTCTCCGGAGCTGAGGGGTAAGCCCAATCCTCTCCCCATGGCCTTGTGTGTCTGGGAAGACAACACACATGACTTCTAAGACTTAGAGTTCCCACGGGCCCTTCTTGAGCCCTCGGAGAGGCTTAAGGAGGGCAGAGCAAGGGTGGATGGGCCCGCACTGCGCGGTGGGCTCCCAGGGGCGTCTGAGATGAACCACACCTGGGCATTGAGTGGGTGGGTGGAGCGGGGAAGAAGCAGTACCCATGTCTGAGTTCCACTCTCAGAGCTTTGGCCTCCTCTCTGTCTCCCTCATTTCTTCCCCTGGCCCACTAACGCAAACGGACTCGAACCCCTCTGCCCCTTCTTCCAGGCGCTAAAGAAAGAAGGCTAAGTAGCCAAGTGCCATCAGTCTCAACGTATGAAAGCTTTGGCAGCAATGTAGAGAGGTCCATACCGTGATGAAAAGCCACCAAAAGTTTACCAAAATTGTCCACAGGGCAGCGGATTCTGCAGTTACCCAAATATCTATTAAGAGGACAACCAAACTGCACCAGAACAAACAACAGTGATGATGAGAAGCTACTGACACAAACACACTCCTTGCATATACCTTAATTTTAGAGAGCATTCGGGTGATTATTGTTCCTGACTCACCACAGCAGTTCTGTGATCTTGGGGAGACTGTTGGGTGTTATTAACCCTACAGTGATGGTGCAGGAAACGGAAGCACTGGGTGGGAGGTTAAAGTGTTTTGATCTAACTGAAGAATAGATGCTGTTAGATCCAGTAATTGCCGTGTACTAGTATGTTCCCACAGGATACAACCTCACTGATGGCTGGCCTACACATACACACCCACAAAATAAAAATGTATAAATAATTATTTTGAGCAGCACCCAACATGTAGTCTCAATTTATATTAAGATAAATAATTGCAATGTGAAATGAAAAGTTGTCTATGCAATATCCTATGTTAAAAAAACATATCCTGTGTTATAATGAAACTCACTGCTTCAAGAAGATTAGCAAGTGAGCATTGGTCAGAATAGATTGTGACTGGGACTTAGAAAGGCAATCAAGTGAATATTGGAGTGTTACAGATTGAATTGTGTCTCCCCAGAAAGATAGGTTAGAGCCCTAATCCCCACAACCTCCAAAAGGAGCTTCGTTTGGAAATAGGGTCTCTATTTCAGAGGTCATCCGATTAAAATGAGGTCGTTAAGATGGGCTCT